AGCACCAGAAGAAACGCCCCTGACATCTCTCACAGGGGAAAGGAAAGAGGTCTGTGATATTCTGGCTTTTCAGAGGGCTGCCTGGATAATGGCTTTATCTTGGTTCACTTGGAACATCGATGGAACTGAGATAGTTTGGATGCCTGGGCACTGCTAAAAACAAAGGAAAGTGGTAGGTGGCTCGCTGCAGTCAGCACAGCTTGGTGCAACTGGGAGAAAAGATGGTCAATCCAAAGCTTCTGCCTTGGGAGGGCTGAAAAAAGGGTAGAATGTGTGGCCCTCCATGTGTGTACCTATGCAACAATCTTGCATGTTCTTCACATGTACCCCAAAACCTAAAATGCAAAAGAAAATGATGATAAATACATTAAACAAAACAAACAAAAAAGAATCTGTTACTTCCTTGATCTTGGACTTCCCAACATCCAGATCTGTGAGAATATATTTTTATTGTTTATAAGCCAAAAAAAAAAAAAGAATGTGTGGCCCTCATTCCAGCTCTTCTTAGTCCAAAGGGACTAATTTTTGTCTCACCTCACTCAGAGCACTAACAGAACCAGCACAGTTTGGATGCCTGAAGGACACTTAGAACAGAGTAGAGACACAGGTGGCTTGCTGTGACTGGCACAGGTTAGCGTAATTGGGAGGTACATACAACTTAAGATTTCTCCCTGGGAGGGGAGAGGGAGGAACAGAGTATGCATCCATCATTCTGGCTTTTTGGAGGGCTGTCTGAGGAAGTGGCATCTGACTCTCCTGATTCAAGGCACTCATGGGGAGCTGGCAAACACAGAGGGCCTGGTGGCTGCTTAGAATAGGGGATAGCTGGGTAGCTTCCTACTCTAAAATCAGGTAACTTGCAGTGTTGCAGACAGACATCAGAGGGTGTAAGGATAATGGGCTCCTGAAAAAGGATTCAGAGGTCCCTAAAATCTCTATCAAAGATTATTGGTGAGGGGCCTCTGCCGTAGCAAGCCAGCTTCTGTACTCGAAGAGCTGGCTGATTCTTTAAATGTGCAGATCCCAATATAGATACAAGAGACAGGAAAAATAGGAAAACATGGTTCAATGGAACAAAATGAATTTCCAGAAACCGACCTTAAAGAAACAAAGTTATATGAATTACCTGTATAACCACTGTAAAGATGCTCAACAAGCTTAAATAATGAATAAACAAAATGAGAATATCAATAAACACAAAATATTTAACAGAACTATATATATTTTCAAGCTGAAGATATAATAACTGAACTGAATAATTCAGATGAGAGGCTCAAGAGCAGAAAATGAAGAAGAAAGAATGAGCAAATTTGAAGACAGGCCATTGGAAATTATCCACTCAGAGAACAAAGATGAATAAGAATGAAAAAGAGTTAAGAGAGCCTTAGGCATTAATGGAACACGCCATTATGCAGAAAAACACATTATGGAAGTCCAACAAAGAGCAGAAAGACGAAAGGGCACAGAGCTTATTTACAGAACACTTCTCAAATCTGAGGAAGGAAACAGACATCTAGATTCAGGAAGCCTAATGACAATCAGGATTAATGCAAATAAATTACACTGGGACCAATGAAAAAACTATAAAAAGTCAAAGAAAAAGGGAGGACTTTGAAAGTAGCAAAAGAAAAGTGATTTGTCTGTGGATTTCTCAGCATAAATGATGCAGAGCCAGAACTGACTGTTAAATGTTTAAGGTGTTCAAAGAAAAAAATAATTACTTGTGACACAAGAATATTACCTCCAGCAAAACTACCCTTTAAAAATGAAAGATGATATTTTCTGAGGTAAATGAAAGTTGAGAGAGTTCATTACCACTAGACTTGCCTTACAAGAAATGCAAAAGGGAGTTCAAGTTGAAATGGAAGGATGCTAAACAGAAACATGAAAGTATAAAGCTCACTGGCAAAAGTAAACAGAGACAGGTCTTGGTATCTGTAAGACACGTTATAGGACCCCCAATGGATACCAAAATCCATGGATGCTCAAGTCTCTTGCATAACATGACACAGTATTTGCATATGTCCTATGTATATCTGTCTGTACACTTTAAATCATCTCTAGATTACTCATGGTACCTAATAAAAGGCCTACATATCACTTCATTGGCATGGATTCAACATAGTACTCAGTATGTGGAAAATCCAAGTTTTGTTTTTTGAAACTTTGTGGAACATTTTTTTCTGAATATTTTAAATCTCAGGTTGGTTGAATTCAAATGCAGCAATCACTGATATGGAGTGCTGACTATATGTAGGAAAAATACACAATAATATTATAATAGTGATATGTAAATGACTTTTAACTCTGGTAAATAAATTTTTAATAATTACATTATTAAAATACATCTTTAAAAAAGTATTAAAATATTTTACTTATATATATACATTATATTTATAAATGTAAATTTATAAATTTTTTAAAAAGTATTAAAAAACTTTGCCTATAAATATACATTAGTGGAAAGACAATACAGAAGGATATAATTTGTGAGGGATCAAGAAAGATTAGAGCAGAAATAAATGAAATAGAGAAAAAAAAATCAATTTAAAACCCTAAAACTTTGTTTTTCAAAAGATCAACAAAATTGACAATCCTTTAGCTAAACTAAGAAAAAAATAGAGAATACTCAAATAAATAAAATCAGAAATGAAACAGGAGACATTACAATTGATGCCACGTAAACTAAAAGGAATATATGAAACTATTATGAACAATTATACACCAACAAATTGGGAAACCTAGAAGATAAATTATTAGAAACGGATAAATTATTAGAAACCTACAATCTGCCAAGACTAAATTATGGAGAGGCAGAATATCTGAATGGATCTATTATAATAAGGGGATTGAATCTGTAATGAAAACTCTCCCAACAAAGGAAAGTTTAGGACCAGATAGCTTCACTCGTGAGTTCCACCTAACAGTTAAAGAACTAATGCCAATCATTCTTAAACTCTTCCAAAAAATTGAAAAGTAGGGAACACTTCCAAACTCATTTCATGAGGCCAGCATGACTCGGATACCAAAACCAGAAAACAGTACTACAAGAAAACTACTTGCCAGTATGCATTATGGGTATAAGTGCAAAACTCTAAACAAAATGCTGGCAAACTGAATTCAACAGCATATTAAAAGGATCACATACAATGATCGAGTGAGATTTATCTTTGGGATGTAAAGGTGGTTCAACATATGAAAATCAGTCAGAGTGATAAAACACATTAACAGATCAAAGGATAAAAATTACATGAACATCTCAATAGATGCAGGGAAGTGATGAAGTCCAATATCCTTTCATAATAAAAAAAGCCCTCAAATGAGAAACAGTTTCAAATGATCTTATATGTATAAAACCTAAAGATTCCCTAAAAATGATTAGAATAAATAAATTTAACAAAGTTGCAGGACACAGAATCAACAATCAGTTGCATTTCTGTACACTAACAATGAACAATTTGAAAAGGAAATTAGTAACACCATTTACGACAGCATCAAAAAGTATTAAAAAAATACTTAAGAATAAATTTGACCAAGAAGGCGAAAGATATATGCACTGAAAACTGTAAAACACTGCTGAAAGAAATTAAAGAAGACATAAATAAATGAGAGACATGCTGTGTTTGGGGATTCAAATTAATATTATTAAAATGTCCATACTGCCCACAGAGACCTACATATTCAATAAAATCCCTAAGAAAATCCCAGTGGAATTTTTTACAGAAATAAAAAAAATTCTAAAATTTATATGGAATCACAAAAGACCCTGAATAAGTTATAAATAATATGGAAAAAGAAAAACAAAGCGGTAGACCTCACATTACTGATTTCAAAACATATTACCAAGCTACAGTCTTAAATCAATACGGTTCTGGCATAAAGATGGACACATACATAGACCAACAGAATGGAACACAGAGCTCAGATAAATTCAACACACATATGGGGAGAAAGTGGAACCCTTATAGACTGTTGTTCAGATATAAAATGGTATATTGCTTTGGAAGACAGTATGGAGTTTCTTCAAAAAACTGAAAACAGAACCATATGACCCATTTCTGGGTATTTATCCACAAGAAATGAAATTAAGATCTTGAAGAAATATTTGCACTCCATGCTCACTGAGGCATTATTCACAATAGCCAAAAGGTAGAAACAACCTATGTGTCCACTGAAGGATGAATAAAGGATATGTGGTACAGCAGGATGCATTCTAAGAGCCCCGGTGGATGCCTGAAATTTTGAATAGTACCGAACCCTATATATAGATGACCCTCAAACTAAACAGGCTTGAACTATACAAGTCCACTAATATGCAGACTGTTTTCCACAAATACTGCATTTGTGGGGCATGAAACCCAAGTATACAGAGGCCAACTTTTCTTATATGTGGGTTCCACAGGGCTGACTGCAGGACTTGAGTATGTCGGGATATATAAGAGGGGTATATAAGAGGGGCCCTGGAGCCAATCCCCTGCATGCACGGAGGGATGACTGTATACTATGCTTTTTCTATACATATGTACCTAAGATAAAATTTAATTTATAAGTTACTCACAGTAATAGATTAACCACAATAACTAATAATAAAATACAACAACAATAACAATATGCCACCATCACTGTCCTTTGGGACTATTATTAAGTAAAATAAGGGTTACATGAACAAAAACACTGTCACAGTTGGACAGCTGATATCATAACAGAGATGTCTATTAAGTGACTAAAGGATGGGCATATATAGGATGGCTATGCCGGACAAAGGGATGATTGACATCTGTTCAGGATGGAGCAGGATTGAGAAAGATTTCATTATGCTACTAAGAACAGCATGCAATTTAAAACTTTAAATTTATTTCTGGAATTGTCTATTTAATATTGTTTTTAACATCAGGAAACAAACTACAGAAAGTGAAACCACAGATAAGTGGACTACTGTATCTTGTTTAATTATTTCATCAAGTTTTGTGGGTTTTATTTTTTATCTGCTTTACTTTTACCTTTTGCAAGTAAAGAACTGTTCCCTTCAGTACAGCATAAAAGGTTTTCCATCCTCGTTTTCCTCTTGGAGCTAGAAAGGGGGAAAAAATGTAAAATTTTATTTGACATCAGCATTTTAGAAAAGAGAGTCTAAATGATCAACATGGTGATAGTGTTTCAATATTCTACCTTGCTACCAAAACTAACAACAATAAGAACAAAATTTTTCTGAGCCTTATAGTGTGCCAGGCAGCATTCTAAATGTTTGCCATATACGGTCTTATTTAATATTTACAGTAATCCTACCAGGTTGGTACTATTTCTCTCTTCTTCTTACAAAACTGAAACATGGGGCAATAACCTGCTAATGATCTGACAACTTGGAAGAGTAGAAGCCTGAAAAGCCAGGTAGCATGGGGGACTACAGACTGGATAAGCACAAGAGGCATATTGGAAACACACAGCAATCCAAAAGAAGCTGAAAAAGCTTAGGTACCAGATCCTTAATAGCTTCTTTAAAGATTCTAGAAATCAGTCTCAGAATATGAAAGGACCACTTTTGACATTTCTCCCATAACCCCCTCAACCAGATGCAAGTTTAGTTATTATTATTCCTACTGCAACCTGTGCATATCTCTACTGAGGATCTTGCTGTAATGTACGATTTTTGTCCAAATGTCTCTTTCACTAGACTATGAATGACTTGACAGGAGGTAACCTTCATCTTTAGAATTCACAGAACCTAGCACAGTGCAAGGCAGACATTAAGCACAATCATACAATTCTCCAAGTTAATTAATTCTTTCAGAAGTCCTTATATTTCTTCTGTTTCTGTATTTCTAGATATAAAGTATATTTTCTCTATTGACTTACATAAACTCTTACAAATTATCCTTAACCAAAAAGCAATAGATTAGCAAAACAGTTTACAATTTAGTATCTTAATAGAATTAAAATCTGTAACTGGAAAATGTTATTGCTTGAATGTCATTTTTCTAAACATGTCTGCCAAAATAGATGGGGAGGGCCATTTACTCATGCTCTTTTATCAAACACTAGGCTGTCTGTAGCCTGTCTTGGATCCCTGATTACATTAGGAAGTACATTATTCTTAACCAAATCCTTTAAATCTCTTTCGACTGAATACTCAAGAATTCTTAGACTTGCAACTAGGTGAATAGCCACTTACAGAACACAGGCAATTCTGCCAACACCATACTGAGCTATCCACCTGGCAAGAAACGATCCGAAATATCCACCCTGCAGGTTCCAAGGGAAATAATAAATATCATCCCTTCTGTCTCCACTAGGTGAGGCTTAAAGGTATACTAAAAATATATATAATGCCTGGCAAAAAGCATACCATTATTTCCTTTATAAAGCAAAGAAAAAAAGCAACTAATATAAACAGATGACCATACATCATATATATAATAAATATTCACTACCTTGTTCAATAGATGTCAAATTTTGATAGTGCCCACATGAGCACTGTGCACACAGAAGGGACCAGGGCCGAAAGGGTTGCTGCAGAGCAGGACCCCAGGAGGCATGGTATGCGGGAGGCACCTGACCAGAAAGCAGACCAGCTGGTTTCCAGCCCCTTCACGATCTCACCAGGTCTGAAACCTATCCTCCCAACCAAGAGCCCCTAACAAGTCACTCTACTGTGCTGTACTTCATGTGTACTTTTGCTGCATTTTAAAATGTGGGTAATTCCTAGAACTTAAGGCAAAGCACTGGCTAATGCTGGCAGGGAAACTAGAGAAAATCTTCTGTTTTCAGTAGAGGAGCCCTGGGTCCTGAAACATAAAGGCTTCCCTGAGCCCTAAAGCTAATTTATTGGCATCTTGACATCCCTTTAGTTAAAAAATCTACACGTCTATTTTTCTCCTTTTGCAGTAGATCTATGAATCCACGTACACATTTACAAAATTTTAAACAGCTCTTTCTCATTTCTACACTAAGCCTGCTAGAAACAGATACCAAAGAGCTCTCCAAGAGAAATGTGATTTTAGAAGTCACTCATGAGTGACTAATACTAAGTCAGGTACTTAGTAAGTGACTTACTTATTAAACAAAGTGACAGTAACATTGGAACTGGGTAACAATCAGAGGTTGGAAAAGTATGGAGGGCTCAGAAGAATATGCTTAGTAACGTTAGTAATGGACTTACTTATCTGTACTCACTTACTGCACTCACTCGGACTTACTTATCTGTACTCACTTACTGCACTCACTCCTTTTCTATTTTCTATCTTTGGCCAGTTACAATTCAGTTCTCTAACAGATGGATGAAACAACCTATAATCCTCCCAAAAAGGTAACTAGGGAGCAAGTAAGTACTCACCAGTATTTAGCTGGTGTGCTATAAAAGCACTGCTCTAAGTGCTCTAACATGTATTAATCCATTTAACTCACACCACAATGCTAAGCCTAAAATATTATTGATACTTCCATTTTACATGAGACAGATGGGTGCAAACAAGCAGAATTCAGGGAAAGAAGGGACCACTGCGCACTGCAGTGGGCTGAGAAGGCTCTCTAGAGCAGATGCAACTGCTCTGATTTTATAATCTCACACAGTGCCACCGTTGCCACTGCACTCTCAGTGAGGCTCTTCATATGAAACACAATGAGCTGGACGCTAATAAATGACAAGTATTGCTCCTCCTCATGAGGACTGTAGAAAGAGTTAAAAAGATTTCACAATACAAGTGTTATTAAGTAGACAGAGCTCCATAAAGAGCTGTAACTTCACATAATGAACTTGATGAGAGGATGAGTGAAAAGATTACTGACTGGAAACGTAACGTAGCAACTGAAAGGCTTTAACTACAGGGTTGTGGGGAATCAGTAGGCCGACGTCCTTTTTAATATCCAGGTGTCTTCTGTGAGAGTGTTTACTCAATTTTATTAAAAGACACCATTTTACATGTGAGCTCATCTTTTCGCTGCAGGTTTTACTATGCATACTTAAGGTCCAAAGATAATCAACTGCTTTCTTTCTCAAAAATACGAGAACCTTGTAGGGTTTTCATTACGATAATCTGCCTCTAACCTTACTTTAGCTTTGTTTTTAAATGCTACTGAAACAGACATCATTATTTTTTCTACAACATGCTACTGTTGGTTTAGATTTAACGTTTACTTTTATCTTTATTGATCGCTTCTTTCTGTACTTCAGATTGTTTTTTGGAGGCCATTTTCAATTACTTCTTGGAGTCTATCCTTAGAAGTTCCTTTAGCAAGGATAGTCTTTTGGTGGTCAATCTTCTGTTTTTATTTATATAATAAATGCCCTCATTTCATTAAAAATTCCAAGTAAAAATTGCTTTTTCTTATGAAGATATTATTTCACTCTTTTGGCTAACACCATCGTTGCAATGTTGATAGTGTTTAGATCTGTGTGCCCACCAAATCTCATGTTCAACTGTAATCCCCAGTTTTGAAGGTGCGACATGGTGGGAGGTGATTGTATCATGGGGGTGGTTTCTCATGAATGGTTTAGCACCATCCCCTTGGTGCTGTTCTTGTGACAGTGAGTGAGTGAGTGCTCATGAGATCTGCTTGTTTAAAAGTGTGTAGCACCTCCCCAACTTCCCTTGCTCCTTCTCTGGCCATTTGAAGTGCTATTCTCCCTTCAAATTCAGCCATGACTGTAAGTTTCCTAAGGCTTTCACAGAGGCTGAACAGATGCCAACATCATGCTTCCTGTACAGCCTGTAGACCTGTGAGTCAATTAAACCTTTTTTTTTTTTTTAAATAAATTACTCAGTCTCAGGTTTTCTTCATAGCAGTGTGAGAATGAACTAATACAGAAAATTGGTACTGTAAACTGGGGCACTGTTTAAAAAGATACCTGAAAATGTGAAAGCAACTTTGGAACTGGATAACAGTCAGAGGTTGGAAGAGTGTAGAGGGCTTAGAAAAACATAGGAAGATGAGTCAAAGTTTGGAACTTCCTACAGACTGGCTGAATGGTTATGACCAAAATGCTGGCAGTGATATGGACAGCCAAGGCAAAGCTAACAAGGTCTCTGATGGAAATGAGGAACTTACTGGGAACTGGAGTATGGGTCACTTTTGTTATGCCTTAGCAAAGAACATGGCTTGCATTGTGCCCTTGTCCTAGGGATCTGTGTAATTTTGAATTTGAGAGTAATGATTTAGGGTATGTGGCAGAAAAAATTTCTAAGCAGGAAAAGTGCTCAAGATATGGCCTGGCTGTTTCTAATATCCTATGCTCATATGTGTGAGCAAATAAATGACCTAAAACTGGAACTTAAATTTAGAAGAGAAGCAGGGCATAAATGTTTGGAAAATTTGCAGCTTATCCATGTGGTGGAAGAGAAAGGCCTATTTTTAGAAAAGGAATTCAAGCAGGTTGCAGAAATCTGCATAAATTAATAAGGAGTCAAGTGCTACTAGCCAAGACAATGGTGACGTGGCCTTGAAGGCATTTCAGAGACCTTCACAGAAGCCCCTCTTGAGGCCTAGGAGGGAAGAATGGTTTCCTGAGCCAGAGCTAGGGCATGGCTGCTCTGTGAAGCCTCAGGACACTGTTCCTTGCATCCCAGCCTCTCCAGGTTAAGCCATGGCTCAAAGGGGCCTGGGTACAGCTTGGGTTGCTGCTTCAGAGCATGTTGGCCATAAACTTTGGTGGCTTCCATGTGGTTTTAAGCCTGTGGCTAAACAGAGGGCAAGAACTGAGGCCTGGGAGTGTCTGCCAAGATTTCACAGGATAAATGAAAAAGCCTAGATGTACAGGCAGAGCCTGCTTCAGTGGTGGAGCCCTCATGGAGAATCTCTACTAGGGCAGTGTGGATGGCAAATGTAGGGCTGAAGCCCCCATACATGGGGTGCTACCTAGTGAAGCTGTGAGAAAAGGGCCACCATCTTCCAGACTCCAGAATGGTAGAGCCACCGACAGCTTGCATCATCACCTGGAAAAGTCGTAGGTGCTCAACTCCATCCTGTGAGAACAGCTGCAGGGGCTAAACCATGCAAAGTCACAGAGACAGAGCTGCCCAAGGTTGTGGGAGCCCATCCCTCATACCAGTGGGTCCAGGATGTGAAAAATAGAGCCAA